CCACTATGCTACCAGAGCTCCTTTAAGCCAGGATAGTGGCAGAAAAAGCAGAAGGCAGAGAGATGCATTTGCCTGATGATAAAGAGGTAAAGAAGCTGGATGTAGATTCCATCCAGGCTTCTAGTCACTTCCCGGTAATGTGGGCTCTTTAGAGACAGAGGGACTTTTGGAAGAGCTCCGGCATCTCACAGCAGAGTCCTCTCCCTGTCCTTCAGGGCAGGTCCACCTGTGCCTTTTCTCTTTTTCCTTTGTCCCAGTGGGAGATGGTGTCCATCCCCGTGACCCCTCCTTGTTCGTCTAGGGCCAAGTAGAGTTGCTGCTCCGTTCCTCAGGGCCACCATTTCGTTCACAAGGCCTTCTCTTATCCAGCTAGACAAATAGCTTCCTAAATGCAGCTCTTCTTTCAAGGGAAGATCAGGCCAGCCTGCATGCTTGCTCTGTTCAGTGGCTCCTGTCAAACTTGGAAAGAGCACATCAGAGCTGAGATGTGAATCTGTGGCACGAGCAGGGAGCAGGGCCACCATTGAGGTCACCTAGAATTAGAGTTACTCACAGTGAGCCTGGAGGGGCCACTCATGTCAGCCAGGGAGTCACTGCACCCATAGCAACTGAGAGTAAGGAGTAGGGCTTACTTTGGTGTCTCCTGACTGAATTATCAGAGCAGTACCCTGAATCTGGGGAGTGAAGTTCTCGGGGATGGACTCATTGTGTCCAGGGACCTCCCAGCGGCCACCCTTTTGAAGAACAGAGGAAGTCTTGTGGAAGACAAGTTCTAGGGGAGAAAGGGTCCCTGTTTTAGAGGCGGGTGTGGAGAGGGGAAGAGAAGGAGGCAGACTGAAGACATCCCCCACATCCTGCTCGGGCCCTAAACTCTCTGTCTCCTTGGAAACCAGAAGCAGGAGCTTCCTCCAGAGGAGCAAGGGCCCAGCATTCGGAACCTGGATTTCTGGCCCAAACTCATCACCCTCATTGTGTCGATCATAGAGGAGGATAAGAATTCCTACACAGCTGTTCTTAACCAGTGAGTATTAGCCCGCTTGCTCCTGTTGGTTGGTGCTTGGTCTGTCCTGTGTCTAACAGCCTCTTTCTTTCCTATCTCTGTGTGTTTGCAGTGCTACATCTTCCTCCTGTCCGTCCGTCTGTCCCTCTGTCCCTTGTATCTGTCTGGGTAACTGTTTCTGAAGACGAGTGTGGCACATAATGGGGGGGCCCCCCAGCATGAGCCAGCCTCTGGAGTGAGAGGCCTCTGGGACGATGGCTGCCTTAGGAGCCCAGGGGACCCAGAGACCGTGCGTGTATGTGTCTGTCCGCTGTGCCTCCGTGGGCCTTCTCCTGGCCCCTCTGCCCTCCTCCTGCAGCCTGGTTAGCCTGGTCCTCCTTTCAGCTTCAGCCCTTCTGCCCTGGGCCTCAGTTCCCCACTTTCTGACTGTCTCCTCTGGGCCCAGCTTGTCTGAGGGGAACCTCTGTCTTCCTGCTTGTCCTTCCACTAGCCCTGGTCCCTCTTCTCCAGACTGAGCCAAACCCTGTTCTCCAGGTTTCTCTCCTTAGTCTGACCTCTAAGAACTAGGCCCTTCAGCCTTGGAATCAGGTGAATCAAATGGCTCTTGCCTTGTTCTCTGACTATGGCTTCTTCTGACCTCCAGGTTTCCTCAGGAATTGAACGTGGGAAAAGTCAGCGCAGAAGTGATGTGGCAACTGTTCGCCCAAGACATGAAATATGCACTAGAGGGTGAGGGTCTGTTCAAGTCAGTGGCCTGCTAAGCCCCAGCCCAAGCACCTCAGTTCCTGTCCCTTTCTTCTCCCAGAAAACTCTCAGTTCTGGATGAGTGGTACAGTGAGAAACCAGAGGGATTCTACGCATGGTGGGAGGGAGGCCTTAGGAGGCCTTGGGTGGGAAAAGCTTCACCAAGAATAATGAAAATGGCTGTGTGGATGTAGGCTCCTTCCCCCAGCTTTGAGTGGGGGTCTGCTCAAGGCTTGGAAAGCCCAGATGATCCACTCCCATACTGGGTGCACTCAAGTGGCCTGCTCCCAGAACAGTGGTCTTGCATAACTTCTCTTTATAGGTCTAAAGAACCAAGGAATTCTAAGACATAGATTAAGTTATTTCCTCACCCTGGGGACTGCGGGGTCTGGGTTTCCTTGGAAGCGGCTCTGGAGTGGTGGGTAGAGCCAGAAGGGTGCTTCTTCCCCACCTTCTTGTAGAGCAAGGCCACAGACAAATGACTGTTCATCTCATCCATTCAGCTTCCTCATTAATCATTTCCCACTTGGTCCAAGCTCCCTGCCGTATCACATCCTCCCAGCGGTCCTCACCTGGCTTATCTGGTTAGCTGCATTTCCGCTGTCTTTGTATCAGCGTATCTTCTCAGTCTGTGAGAGTGGATCTAGAGGGAGGGGCATAGCCTGAGTCAGGGACAGAGCAGCCTGGACCTGTTATTTGGGCAGAGTGGCAGGGATACATCTGTAACCCTCAAACCCTGGGACTCTTGAGGTTTAGAATTGGTGAGACTTGAAATTGAAAGGGACCTTAAAGAGCTGGGTAAAGTGTGAGATAGCAACGGGTTCTTCGTGCACAGTCAACAGTTTGGTCCCAGAGAAGTGGCTGCCTCCTGGCCACTCTGAATCAGCCCGATGAGGAGGTCACCTGTCCCTCTCCCCCAGGCAGCACTCAGTGAACCTGAAGGGGCGTGTGCTTCCAATTCTGGAAGAACTCCCGCTCCAGTGAGATAAATACCTGTGAAGAATGAATCAACTCTCAAGACTGGTGTGTGCGGTGGAGCCGAGGTCTTCAGCTGTTTCAGAAGGAAACCCAGGGCCGTGCTCCAGGCCTCCCGTCTCGCTGTGTTTGTCTCCCATCGGGTTCCGGATGAGACTGCTCGTGAAAAGGAATTCTGCCAACGTTGACAACAAATACAGATGTGTCGGAGACTCCTGCCATTGGAGAAGGAGCCATGGTGGCCAGGCGTCGAATCGCAGTACCACAACCTACTTAGCTGTGTGACCTTGGACTTAATGACTCAGATTATGTGAGCTCCCATTTTCCCATCTGTAAAAGGAAATGCTGACAGCTCTACTTTACTGAGCTGATAAAGTAAATGATACGCAGAACGAACTCAGAACCCGGCCTGGTGCTGACTCAGCCCTGAGTAAGTTATTAAGGACAGTGGGAAGCTGTCATAGGCACTTGAGCAGAGGCCTCGTATGAACAGTGTAATATTTAAGTAAGATCGGACCTCAGTGGAAAATGGAGGCAGCTGGAACAGAGGATGAGGGGCTGTTGTAATAACATAGAGTGGGGCTGGGATAGGGCAGAAAGATGGAAAGAGAAGAATGGGCTTTGGCAGACACGGAAATGAAGTTCTAAAAGGACTTAGTGATTGTTGGAATTTGGAGGGCAGGAAAGAGTGAAGAGTTTGGGGACCTAAATGGTAAGATCATCAACATGGCATCAGGATTGGAGGAAGACTCGTTAACAACCTGCAGTACACTGACAACACAGCTTTGCTCACTGGAAGTGAGGACGACTTGAAGCACTTGCTGATGAAGATTGAAGACTACAGTCTGCAGTACGGGTTACACCTCAATATGAAGAAAACAAACACCCTCACAACTGGACCAATAAGCAGCATCACAATAGATGGAGAAAAGATTGAAGTTGTCAGAGACTTCATGTGACTTGGTTCTACAATCGACACCAATGGAAGCAGCAGTCAGGACATCAGATGACGTGTAGCACTGGGCAAATCAGCTGCAGAAGGCCTCTTTGAAGTGCTGAGGAGTGAATATGTCTCCTCGAAGACTAAGGTGCGCCCAACACAAGCATGGTATGTTTAGTCGCCTCACGTGCATGTGAGAGCTGGACAATGAATAAGGAAGACCGAGGAAGAGTTGATACTTCTGAGTTGTGGTGCTGGCAAAGAATGCTGAAAGTACCATGGTCTGCTAAAAGCATTAACATCTGTCCTGGAAGAAGTGCAGCTGGGATGGCCTTGGAGGCGAGAATGGCCAGACTTCGTCTCAGCTGCTTCGGTCATGTTGTCGGAAGGGACCATTCCCTGGAGAAGGATGTCATGTTTGGTAAAGTGGAGGGTCAGCGAAAAAGGGGAGGGTCCTCAACAACAGGGATTGGCGCAGTGGCTGCAGCGATGGGCTCAGGTATAGCAGGGACCGTGGAGCTGATGTGGGACCAGGCAGTGTTTTGTTCTGCTATGCATAAGGTCGCTGTGAGTCAGAGACAATTTGAAGTCACCTAACAACAAAAACAACACAGCAGATGATAAGAGGCCAGGGTCACGTCTGTTTGAGAGAGGAACATTGAAAATACTCTTAGTTCTCTCATGCTGCTATGACAGAAGTACCACAAGGGGGAGGCTTTCACAGACAAATCGGTTTCCTCACAGTTCAGGAGGCCAGAAGTTTGACCTCAGGGTACCGGCTCAGGGGAAGTTCTCCCTCTGTCGGCTCTGGAGGAAGGTCCCTGGACTCTTCTGAGCTCGTGCTCCTGGGCGGTCTTCATGTACCCGGGCACCTCGTCTCCCATCTCTGCTGCTTGGTAATCTCCTATCTCAAAAGAGAGAGGGGCTCGAGGTCCACCCTCCGTTAATCTTGCCTCATTAACATAACGTGGACAGCCCATTCCCAGATGGGATTAGAACTGCAGCCATACAGGTTAGGGTTTACAACACAGATTTTTTGGGACCCAGTTCAGTCGTAACACTATCATTCACCAAACATTATTTTTTAAAATCAACTTTATTGAAGTGTAACCAACGTTCATTAAAACAGAAGCACTCAAAGAGGACAGCGTGATGAGTCTTGACAAGTACACACACCTGTGTAACGACAGTGGTTTGCCATCTGATCGAGTTCCCTTCTGGTGCTTTACTGCGAAGCCCCACCCCTTCGTCAGTGAGCATCGTGTCCTTTAAGCGCAGCTCTGTGCTAACTCTTGGAGCCCCACAGAGATGACTAAGGCGTAGTCCAGGCCTTGAGGGGTTCGCTGACCAGCATGACACGGACTTATAAATTGGCAGTTAGGGTACAAGGTTCTAAATGCTACAGAAGGAATACCATAAGGGTGCTGTGACAGGAAACAGGAGAGACATGTCACCGAGGCGCAGAAGACCAGGGAAGACTTCCAGGAAGAGGTGATGTGCAGGCTGAAACCTGAAGGATGACAGGACGTAGCCAGTGGGAGAGGGGGGTGATGGTGGCAGAAGATGAGGACATGCAGCATTTCAGGCAGAGGGTGCAGCACTGGTGAGGGCCTGGGTCCCGAGAGAGAGCTGTCAGCCGTGGGAACTGACAGCTGTTGTGTGTGGCTAGCACTCTGGAGTGCGAGGAAGACAGGGTGAGAGGTGAGGCTGCGGAGGAAGCAGAGCCCAGTTGCAGAGGAGCTTGGGGGCTGGGATTACAGCAGCGACAGCCTTCAGATCCAGTGAGGGCTTCCTGTGCAGGGTCAGCCTTGCTGGGCACGGAGCAGGTGCTTCTGTTTTAAGGAGTCCTGTGGCACAGTGGTTAGGCACTCAGCTGCTAACCAAGAGATTGGCGGTTCAAACCCACCAGCTGCTCCATGGGAGAAAGATGGGGTAGTCGGCTTCCACGGAGATGCCAGTCACAAATCCACTGGGTGTTTCTAAGCTTTGATGGGCTTTTGGATGCTGTCCTGAGGCAGTTGGGAGTCACTGAAGTGTTTTAAGCCAGGGAGGCACATTATTAGATTTATGATGTAGAAAGGCCACTTCCTCTGATGACAGTCTACAGACTGATTTGGAGGAAGAGTGACCAGTCCAGAAGCACTCGTCGTAACCTCAGTTAGAGATGGTGGTTAAGAGATGTAAGTGAGTAACGGTGCTGCCGGAAGGAAATGAATGGATTCCAGAACATCCTCAAGGTAGACTCAGCACGGGTTGGGGATTTCACTGCCCGAGAGCGAATAGGAGCGAAGACAGACTCAGGACGATGCCCGGCTCCGCACAGGAGGCTGAATGGCCGGCAGACTCTGCTCACCCTGAGCTGGAGATGTTAAGATGATTAGCAATGGGGATAGGAGTTCACACCCAGGCAAAGTGAGGTGCTCCATCAGAATCTGACATAGGTGTTACCAGGACTGAAGAGAGATTTGGGGGAGATGTCGGCAAAGGGAAAAGTGGAAATCATGAGGTTGGAAGAACTCCTCAAGGATGGAAGATAAATGGAGGGAAGACAGTGGAAGTCAGGGGCAGAGGGAGGCTATAGAGGAATGCTTGGCACTTCTGCCAGAGGAACCTTCACCCTCACCTGTGCCTCCAACGTGAGAGCACCCCGAGCAACTCTGTGATTCTCCTGTTAGAACAGTCTAAGGCGTGACCACTTAGCTTGGTTTTTGTGCCACAGAAGTTAATGTAGGAGTTGGGGTGTGAGGCCAGCGTTCAGGGAATGGATTTGACAGTGGACGTGATAATTACATACTGTACTTCAGGGTCCCAGAAGAACGGGTTAGGGAGGTCTGGAGTGGATGCGCAGTGGGCTGCTGAACAGGCCGGGGAGGCCCCTCTTGGCGGTACCTTGT